TTCACACACTGCATCCAAGTAATCAAAACGAGTGTCTAGAGCCAAATGAACGACACACACGTATACATAGGCGTACATTATATTATTGTGTTTCACGACTTTACGCGTCATATTGCGGTCAATCATCAGTCATTTGAATAGAAAAAAAACATTTTAGTTTATTGGTTGGCAGACAGAAATTCAAACAGGTTTAACCATGAATGTTTAAAATAATAAATGATCAGACTAACCATATTAAGAGAATTACTTGTCTTATGTATACTTCCGTTATCAAACGATAATCCGTCAGTACGATGGCTTAAAAATACGCCTTTATCAGATTTTACAACTAAATAAAAAAAAATTTAGATAATTCGAAATTTTTTTTTTTGCAATAAGCTACGCTCTTTATAATCTCGTCGCATGGATCAGATGTGCATATAAATTTTACTTATTGGAACAGACATGTGCTCTAAAGTAATACGTCGACTGATTACACTTTCTTATGTATGCATAAGAAAGCATACTTATGCATACCTACTTGATTCCATTTTATTGTCTATCGTTCGTTGTTTTTTAGACGCTATCCAAACTGTTGCGTCATTTGCAGTGTTCGCGTGGAATTGTGTAACGGTCATGGGTGGTTAGTTTTTAACACTTGTAGAACGCCTTTGAAAAGCTAGCGGGAGGTCGTTGGCCGTTTTATTTTTTTTCGCTACTCTCGTAAAAGGCAGTAACTATTATTATAAGTTATAACAGTAGTTTTCGCCCGCAATATATACACAGACAATGACGAATCGTACGTGGCGCGCACACAATCGCGAGGGACACAGTGTTAGAAGAAAAAAAAGTCGACCACTCATACTTAGACACGGAAAATGATGAAAGGGAGCAACTCTTGCTTTAACCCCTTTTTAGTGGCCAACTGTGACTTGAGTTTTTACGAAACACACCTGTCCAGGCACGGGGGAACGCGTAAGCAACGAATGAAGGGGAACGTAAATTGTTTTTTCTTTTCTACACCTATTATACAAAGACTCAGATCAGTAATTGTGTCTTGGTTATGAATATATTTGAATAAACATGTGGTAATTTTTATAAACATAAAATTGTCTAACCGTTTGTAGCTAAAGTAACTGTTTCTCTATATCTTTGTCACTTGTTGATTTTTTTTTTTTTATTCGATTTCATAGTTACCATTTTTTTTTTTTTTTTTATGCAGTCTAGTCTAAATATCACATAATACACGACTAACATAAATTCATTTTTCCACAACAAGTTATAGTTATTTAATTTATTCACAAAAAGAGGCATTTTTCAATTCTGTTAGTAGTTTACCCTACGGTAAGTGAATTCTGCACAACCCATCGCTTAAAATGTATTATCTTAATAACATTTATTTTTTTATTTTTATAAATCTAATTTAAATTAATATAAATTAATACTATTTTACTGGCACTTCTCAAATATTTAAGTGAACTTAATAGTTTAGTTACTAATAGTTAACTTTTGAATATTCCAATATTTTATAAAAAATAATACTTATACCTTGTAACAAATTACAACAATATAAATTTATTAATAAACCAAAAGCAAAGACTGATCTTCAGATACTTTATACTTATGTATAAAGTTGGTGAATCTAAAAATTGATAATACTTTTATTTTAAATACTTTTTATTAAATTTTTAACATACTTAGGTACTTAATTTATTCATAATACTGAACTGATCGAAAAATAATAATTCACCCTAATTACATTACCCAAGGCTATTTTAATTCAATATAACCAGATTGACAAACAATGTATTGATATTTAAGTTTTTGTCTTTGTTTACGACGAAGCTATGGTTTTTTTTTTCAAAGTTTGATGATTTATTACTCAACTATCGGAATCATAAACATGTTGCATTTTAATAATATTATAACGATAAATTATAAACTTTAATAAAACGCTACTAGATTTATCAAATCGCAGATTCTATGATATCGTAAAAAAATCATTATTTTTATATTTTGGATTTTAAGTTTACTTAAATTTCCTTAGACTTATAACAACAAATGATATATTTACATTAAAGATAAATAATATTAAAATTCTGATCTAGTTTACGTTTATTACATATAGTTGTAGTAGCCCACACAGTTTTGTTTCCAATGCGTTGGTCGAATCAAATTAACCATTGCAAACGATTTGCGGTCATAAAACAACATTGACGGCCGTCTACTTAAGCACAACACGTAACCTAAGTATTCGTATCTATACAATATATTATACATACGTACGTGGTAGCCGAGATTTATTTATTTTTTATCATTTTTATTATAACTATTCTCTTAGAAATTTCCCCTATGCCACTATACACATAACAATTTATTAGCTACTGCCAAGTAAAAAACTAAACCCGCTCGGGGCACTTCACCCTCGTTCTCTTTACCTGTATGCATAATATTTAACACACAGCTCATCGACATCAGGACCACATCATTGGACCGCGAGCATATAATAATATAATAACACCCATCGTAGTCCGGGGGGTCCTCGTGTGGTTTAATCGGATCAGTTATACATGTTAATAGGTAACGATAAACCATACGCGCGTATTGTAATAACCGGTGACGAAAAAAATAAATAAAATTCAACCCAACCTGCTGATGAATCCCGTTTTATGAATCCGCCATTGTAGTGGCACAGACACGCGACACGGAACAGATGACAACCCGGCAATGGTTTGGTGTCACCTAAAAATTACCAGATTCGATTCGCACGTTTTCATATACAATACTCGATTTAATTATTATTTATATTATGTGTATTGTATATGTATGTAATGCACATTTCTCAAACACAATGATCGTGCATGATTCGATTTCGAAAAATGTTTGGAAAAAAACATGACCCGCCATCGAAAAAAACGTCCAACATGACGTGTTGTTTTGGTTTTTAATAATGCAACTGGTCCACACACACACAAAAATCATAATAACAAAATAAACGTATTGACCCGAAACATAATATTCTCGTGGAGATTGTGGACTGCGATAACCCGTTGGGTGGACACAACACAGGTAAAACGATACCGGACGTGTTTTGACGTGGGTTATCATGTATTAACATTTATCTGGCCCTTGGTACAAGAGAATACAATTATTTTGCACAATCGTTTAATATTATTTCGAATTAAATACAATTTCAAATGGTCCATTTTAAGATCATTATGGAATACTTATTTTTATTTGAAAAGAATCCAAGTTTTTATTTTTATTTATTACCTACTTGTTTTGTTTTGTTAAGTATTTACTGGGGTATTTACAATAGTAATTGTCCTCAAGCGTTATATGTTAAAATAAAAATATAATAATAATGCACAATGAGGACGAATTTCAAGTTTTACTTTTCATCTCATTAAAACTTAAGTTTAATAGATATTTTAAGATTGTCGGTATTCTAATGTTTAGGTCATAGGCGTATAGTCAATGTGTATAAAATAATATGCAAATTAAATTTTTAACTCATTGTTTAGTGAACACATAATACTATAATAGGTAATAATGACACACACAATTCAAAATAAATCATTACTTTGAAAATTTTATCATCTTTTAGTCTGTGTAAAACGTATTAAAGAAATAATGTGTTTTGTTTCTTTTCTTCATACTTTAAAAATTATTATTGAAATTATTTATGTAATGTTTTATTAATATTTCTTATTTAGATCATGTACGATATATCCAATAAATAGTTTATTAATTGTATGTTTTAGATTAACATATGATGGATTACAATATTATGAAAAATGAAATTTTGTTTAATTTTACTAGATTTAACAATATCTAATATTACAAATATTTATCAAATCCTTGATTGGCCTACATAAGATACCTACGTCTAGAATGTCTAGATACTCTATAGGTCAACATAATTGTGAGAAGAATTTAAAATGTACAGTAAGTAAATACTTAAGTGTGTGAAGTATTATTTTATTCTTTAAACCCGTTATTTATTACACATTTAGGTAAGTTAACGATTTTCCTTAGAGAATATCATATTTATTAAAGTTCAACTGAATAACTAGCATAATTTATAAATCATTAAAAGATAATTATAGTAAAACTAAACAATATAATTTATGTTGATATGAAATATCTAATTTAATTTCATCCTGAAACTTATTATATTAAGAGTTGCATGCACTTAAAGTTTGTATGAGTAAATCAAAAACTATATTCAAGAAAAATAACGAATTCCATATCCAAATAATATAACTCTGACATTTATCAAGATAAGTCTTTAAATTTCTTCAAGAATAATTACTTTTACAATACAATTTATTTGGTTATGTTTCAATTATTAATGTGATTTGCATAACATTATATATAGATACCCGACGTCATATTGTTATAATAATAAAATTATTAAAATTGCTATCAAAAACCACTTTTTAAAAAAAAAAAATAAAATACTACTTTGTAGATTCTGTATTTTATAAATATAAATTTGTCTACATGAATTTTTAAATATCTGAGTAAAAATTCCCTTTTAAAATTTAAATGAAAAGGAATTTCATTATAAATTTAAAATTACTTTTTTATAACATAACAAACATTTATTTCGGAAATTGTTTTAATATTATTTACAAGCCAAAACAATTTAATGAAAAGGAAATCATTATAAATACGTGACCTGGATCTTAACTGGATTAAAAACATTTAATACTCAGTTTTAATGTAAAGAAAAAAAAAATGATCGCGCAAACACAAAACAATGCATTAATGTAATTTTACCAACAAAAGCAAAAATCTTAAAAACAATGACTAAATAATATTTGTCACGATTAAATTATTATATTTTGTATAGGTAATCAACCTAATAATAATAAAACGAGTAGGTACCTAAAATTAAAAACGGTGTTTTCACAAACCACCGGAACAACTCGACGGCAGTCGAGTCATAACAATAATTATTACTAATTTCTAAGCAATAAGTAATAACAATAAGGAATAATGGTCATATCCGTTACCCGTCTTTTTTGTCGTCTTGGGTCAGCCTATCGATCATCTGCATGTCGATCATTTCGTATCAGCCGTCACCGCACGCGCGCCAAACCATGATCGATGGCGGATCGCCCCCGCGATTGTAGCTCACTCCCGCACACGCGTCGATAAATTACGCGCGCGCGGTCCGAACGACGACGGCAAACGACAAGACGCGCACCAACCGGCAAAAACGAACGATTTCGGAAAAAAAAAAAAAACGGACACGGTCGGGGCCGCTACGACGGTGTTCTGTCGGATGGCAGACGGAAAGTTTCGAATAAAAACTGCCGCGCGATAATCTCTTGGCACGAGTATTTTGGTACGCGAACAGCGGCGCCGACGTCCGATCGGATCGGCGTTCAATCAAATCGGGAAAAACAAATAAACCGTAACGCGGTAATAACGCCCGACGACTTAACGTGTATTACGATGTCAATATAATATTATATTATTATAACAGTACGATAATACCGCCGACCTTATCGCGGGCTCGCCCCACGCCGCACTCGTATTACGCGGCGGCCGTAAGAAAACCGCTACCGGGGACTCGTCGATAATATAATATTATAAATAATATTAATAATAATAGTAATAATAGTGATGGTGATAATAACGACGGACCGATTACGCGCGTCGCCCAGCACTCACGAAAGCACACTGACACCGCCGGCGGACCGGTGGACGCGGATGGATGTATAAAAACACACACACATACACACACGTGTACGTATAAAACGAAATCGCTACAGAACTGGTCTTTATCCCCGCGACGACGAGCGGTGCGTGCCCACTCCGGTTGTACGCTGCGCGAGGAGTGTGTGTGTGTGTGTGTGCGTGTGTGCGTGTGTGCGTGTACCTACATAATAATAATAATAATAAAAATATTATACTGTACGGCGAATAGCCCCTCCAGGCTCGCGACCAATGGGGGAACAACAATAATAGTAATAATAACAACAAAAACAACCGTGTGACGTGACCCACAATCGGCGCGACCGTGCATCCGACGCCCCGACGTCGTCGCGGATGTCGGATTAACGCGGACTCCGGAGTCCGGTTGACGTAAAACGATTTTGAAAATTATGATAAAAAAAAAAAAAAAAAAAAAAAAAAATAAATAAATAATATTTCGCGAATTCGGAGCGTCGGCTAGGGGGGTGTGATTGATTTCCGACCACCCTCTGCGGCCGATTACGGATTACCGGCGGGTGGTGGTCGGACACGCTGCACATTACCTGTCATCGTCAACGCGCTGCAACAAAAACCTCGCGCCGCGGGGAAGTCGTTAAACTGGATTAAGCGCGGCCAATATTGTAAAACACACAATAATAATGACGATAATGTTGTGACGATAGTAGGTACTTAGCGGCGTAGGTTTTGTTTTTCGTTTGCATCGCGCTGAGCCGCTCGGATATCGATTGTCACGTGCATAATGCACATTGTACATAATATACGATATGCACCGTCATCGAGATCACTGTGTTGCATAATAATCCGCGTTTTCCGCGACACCATACGTGCACGTCCGAGTGTACTTACAGCTGTTTTTTTCGTTTTATAACAGTGATGGATTTATTAAAATATAATATTATATCATTACAAACTTGTCAAATTTCATACCGTACTAAACGTCTGCCGTAACGCCAGGGTTCGAAAGTTCTAGCAAACGTATATATTTTTGGTAAGTCTTAGAACGTTCAAAGTTTGATACCAATTTATTTCACACTTCCCCGATGTTATATACGGAATTTTATTTGCCTAATATTTGCATATTTACGATTTTATTGTTATTTCGCTATTTAGGGTTTTTAAATGTTCTTTACAGGTATACCATGTATAAAAAGGAAAATAAAATTATATTGAAAGAAAAGATTTTAAACCTAACACATACGAATACGAATTTATTAACAAAAACAAAATAATGCATTTTAGTTGTTATCGTCGATCCGAATCACACCGAACTATCCTGTTCGTTTCCAATAATTTAGTTATTTTCGTATCAAATGTACTGCAATATCGGATTCGTCGTATTTACCTAGAACATAACGTTATCGTCGTACCTATTACCTAACTCTGAACAAACACAATGATTTTATTTTGGTTTTCCTCCGTCATTTTGATCTGTTGCGTTTATGATTGATGTGAACTAGTATATTACCTATACGACTATATTCTTGTGTATTTATATTGATTTAAAAATAAAGGTTATCGAATCCAAACTTATGTTAATGAATTTGGTTCCAATATTTTTTTTCAGATGATACAATCGTATTATTTTGTAAAATTTATAAAATTTAAGTTAATTCCAACAAAAAGTATAACGTACCACACATGTAAGAAGTGACAAACTAATTAAAAGTTTCGTCCGGTATAAATATCAAATAAATCGGAAACAATAACAGTTATTACCAGCAACCAACGACAAATAATATTAGTAAAAAATCATAATTTTAACAAAGGTTTGTGTGAGATTCTTATTTTCGCTAACATTCCTATAAACAAATTAGTAAGTTTAAAACATATTTCGAAATATATACAAAAAATGATATTCCAAGTGAATCAACGTTGCTAAAAGGATATTATGTAGACGAAATTTACAAATAACAATAATATGGCCATGAACAAAATAATTTGGGTCAGTATCGATAAGACTACTAACGCAGTGCCATTACATTGCAAATGTAATAGTCGACATTCTCGAGGAAAATTGTGCAGACAAAATTTTTTTTACTCAATTCCGATGAACTAGAAAAAGCTAACTACTCCACAATCAACAAACTTTTTAATAGATCGATGAGTTTATTATGGCCATCCGGTATTCAACATAACAATGCACTATAATTTTTATCTGATGTTGCGCTTTACATAGTTAAATCAGAAAAATTGCTAAAAAGTTTTTCTCAGAAATGATTCGCGTAACATGTGTTGTAAATACATGGACTGCGTACAGTCACAGAAAAAGTAAGAAGTCAATTTCATGCAGTAGATAAAGTTATTTCGATTGTAAAAAAAATATTTAGAAAAGCCCCACGTCGTTTACTTGTATTTAAAACAGAAGCGCTAAATATTACCTCCGGAGCCAATTCTCACTCATTAGGGAAGTTAGATTAATACAGCAATTTATTTTGCGGAAATTTTGGAATAATACACCGTATTATTTTAATGTTAAATAGAAACGATGGAGTTAGTATTTAAGATGCTTAAGATTACATCATAAAACCTGGATTAGAAAATAACTTAACGTATATTAAGTCACACTTTGCCAAATTAACCTTGTATATTGAAAAATTACAACGGTAACATACTTCATTACCGAGTTCAACTAAAATAGTTAAAGACATTCAAAAATCTTTTGAAAAATTATATGATCCAAATGGAAAAACTGTTTAAAATAAATTTAATCAGGTATTAGAAAAAAACGTTGGTAAAAATATTACAAGTTTTAATAGGTGAAGAAACATTTAGATGTAAATCCTGAAGATTTAAATTGTAACGACTTGGTATTTTTTAAGTACGCACCCGCGATGTCTATCGATATTGAGCGGTTATTCTCGGCATACAAAACTACATTATAATCTTAATTTATTATACAACAATATAGTATTTTAATTGTTTAAAATATTGTTTTTTTTATTCCAAAACCGGGTATAATACCTATTTCTCAAATATCTATCTTGATAATAAATTATCAAAAATACCGCGTTATTATATCATGTAGGAAGCATTTTTACATTAATAAATTCCATAATACGAAAAGTATATCAGTAACTAACCCGTAATAATTAATCAACTGCATAGATGAAGTAGCTGTAATCATGTAAAGGTAGAGGATAATCTCCTAATATAGATACACCATACATACTCGTTGTAATGCTATTATTTATTATTATTATTATGTCAATAGTTGATCTTATGAAAAATTGGGATATATCGCAGAAGATCTAATCACATACAATACATGAAAAAAAAAAATATCCATCCATTATAGAGTAAACATTTTTTAAGAATATTATTCTTTATATTACTGATCTGCGATTACTTAATCACATAAGAATAGTTTAATTACCGAAAATTAAAAGCAATTAAAATCTTTAAGTGTTTTTTTTTATTATTAATCGGTTGTCGCTAAAATTAAAATATCTAAAAGAGGGCTTTCAAAATATGCGCTAAAACTTTTAATCCTGCACTTAGATTAATAGATTATTTTAATATAAAAATGGTAAGTGCTATTTTTTTTTAAAATTACAACTTTATTAAAAATAAATATCTCCATTAAGTTTGAATAAATCCTATATCGTCATTTGTAAATAACTTTAGTATTTATATACTACACAATTTTAAATTTACCTGCAAAGATTTTTTTAAACTTTATTTTATTTATAATTTAATACAATCTATAAATTTAATTTTTACAATTTAAGTATATTATTATGTGCATTTATAAATGTTATTATGCGATAAACGTGTAATATATATACTATATATAAAAAATAGTCACTCAATGGATAATAGTGACATTTTATAATAAACACTTCATTTATTAAGTATTCTAGATTATTTTATATTTCCTAAATAATTATGAATTCGTTAAATTTCTACATTCATTTTTTTATTAATTTTTCTTAAATCTAAATTATAAAATATAGTGTCTAAACCAAAAGCAGATATTAGGAGATAAGAATGGCCTGATGTAATTCCTACCTATTTATGTCATATTCTTGTATGTAATATTGTATATAAATGTAAATCATAAAATAGATAGATTTCTTAGTTGTATAATTAATTATAGAATAAACTATTCTATAATTAATGATATTAGTTTAATTTAAATTTATTAGCTACCCAATTACAACCAATTTGGTTTATTTATATATACCAATATCCTTTTATAACTTATTCAATAACATTAATAGAGAACTATAATTATATTGTTATGTAGTTATCGTTATTTTTCATCTTCAAATTTCTAATTACATAATGTCAACGTTGTAAGGAATTTCTCACGTTTATTGAGTAATTTTTCTTTATGAATTATATAACCTTTTATAATAATAACTATCAAATAATGTTATTAGTTACAAATTATTATTTATGTAGAAGTATACTGTATACAAGTATTTCGGTAGCAACATCAGTTAATTTTTAAATATTTTTATGTTCCAAAAGCTTTTAGTAATCATAGGTTATTGCTAGACGTGGGTGATGAATTTAATACGCTTTTCAAAAGTTTTAAATTGGATGTTAGATTTGTCAACCAACCATATCATGTTAACTCTATTGCAATATCCTTCAAACTTGTCTTCAGTAAAACGTTACATGATGGAATTCCAATAATAGAAGTTTTTGTCGTTATAAAATGAACATTATTCAAATAATATATTATATAAATGATATGTATTATTTTCATATTAGATGTTCACAATATTTATTTCATTAAATAAATAAATTATCTTCAATTTCTAATTTTATAATATTTTTTTGAGCATAATTTACTGTAGTTTTACTATAGTGTAATAAATAATGGTTAATACGATTGATTAATATGCACTATCTTATCACTACCTAATTTAAGTGTTCTTTCTCTGTTTTCTCGCTAACCTAAATAATATCTTTTTTTTTTAA